CCCCCACCTGCCCCCTCGCCCCACCGACCCTCACCTGATTTGGGGTAGGTGGCGATGACCACGTCGGTGGGACGGAAGGGGAAGGTGACGGCGAAGCCGAGGGACTCCTGGGTGTGGAGGTGGCCGGGCAGGGAGATGCCGGCAAAGGTCTCGGTCACCTCCATCCGATCCATGGCCCGGCCACTGCGAGGGACGCGCTGGCGACCGGTCTTAAATAGCTGCAAAAGAGGAAGGCGTCCCGGCGGGCGGGAGGCTGGGCCCCCCTGGCACATTCCTGCTGGGGCCATCGCCGGGAGAGCGCTGCTGCGGGGCAGGGGGGCTGCGGGATAGCCCCGGGCTGGGGACACCCGTGGGACAGGACGGGATGGGACGGGGGTCCCGCACAGCCAGACCCACTGCCACAGCCAGGAGAGCCGGGGGGGGCGGGCAGGGGCACCCCGCTTGCCTAGTGGTGGGAAGGGTGCTGGGACCCTCGCCGGCCACGGCAGCCCGCGGTGACCCTGGGGGTGCCAGCCCGCGTGCCCCACAGCTGGGCTCCCCACAGCCGGCACTGTGCCGGAGGAAGGGATTCACATCCCAGCACACCCTGGGACGAGGAGCGGGGCTGGCTCTCTCCACGTGGCTCTGTGCCATTCCCAGCAGCCTCACGATGCTTCTTGCCGCTCACGACACCGCGGCCACCGCCGGCCCCTGCGCAGGAGCCAGCTGGGGTCCCCCCGCACCGTGGGCGCTGGGCCACAGGACCAGCGGGTGCCTCAGTTTCCCCACACACGATGCTGCATCAGGACCGCGGGACAGGGGCGGGGGGAACCCGGCACCCATGCGGCACCGTCAGCAATCCCACGCCGGGGTCGCGCCGCTCCGGCTGCTGCCCCCCAGCCCTTCTTCCACGGCGAGACGGCTTCGCCACAAAGCCACGGGGTGCACTGGCACTCGGCCACTCCCCAGCGCCCGACGCCATGTCAGGGGGTGGCTCTGGGGTGGCCGGAGCCCGTCCCAGCCCCGCCGTCGGCACGCAAGCCGGAAAACATTTCCCAGGCGTTGCAGGCAGCAGCTGCCCGAGCATCCCAGGACCGGGGTGAGTGAGGGACAGGGGTGCTGGGCCCTGGCCATCAGCAGCGGGGATGCCGGCGATGCCAGCATCCAGCCAGGGGTGCCGGCGGGTGCCAGCGCTTGGCCGGGGGTGCTGGCGGGTGCCAGCACTGGGGAGGCCAAAGCGGGGATGGGACCGGCGCTTTCCCAGCAAAAAAAAATCTGGGCTGCATTAGAGGGGCTGGGACTGTCACCGCAGCTATGCGGAGAGGCCCCAGTGCAGCCCTGCCACCCGGGGCCGGGCTGGGGGAGGCCGCCGCCATGCCGTCCCGGTACCCGGGCACCACCACGGCCAGGGCACAGGGCACGCAGGGTGGGGTTACGGCTGCGGCTCCTGGTTATTTATTTACGACGGGAGGGGACGGACGGTGAGCCGGGGCAGCTGTCCCGGTGCGTGTGCTCAGAAGGCTCACGGCGGCGGCGGCGGCGGCAGGTCGCCCCGGCTCGTCCCTCAGCGGCACCGAGTGGGTGAAGATGCCGGGCGGCAGCGTGCTGGCGCTGGCGCTGGTGCTGTGCCTGCTCCTGCCCTGCACCGGGCAGCATCACCGGGAAGAGGCCGAGCGCATCATGACGACCACGCCAGTCATTGATGGGTGAGCAAAGGTTGCATGGCACCGCCGTCGTGCCTGCCACCGCCGTCGTGCCTGCCTGGCTGGCTGCTGCGGCAGGGCTGTGGCTCTCGGCACCCTGAGAAAAAACCCTGGCCAGAAAACCCCACTGGGGACAGCCCTCTCCTTGCTGGGGGGGATCCCCGTGCCAGGCCCCCCGGGGCTGTGCGGCCGAGGGGATCCCCAGTGGTGCAGCCCAGCCGGGAGCGGGCAGGGTGCCGGGAAGCCGGGGGCGAGTTTGCCCCAGGGGAAGTCCCTACTTGGGGCAAACGGGTCCACGGGGTTGTGTCCTAAGGGATGTTCCCAGTCTTGTGCCGGGATCCTCAGGGGGCTTGGGTCCTCCGCGGGCGTCCCCCGTGGCACCAGCCCTGTGCCGTGGCAGTGGAAAGGGGCGCGGAGCAGGGAGAGCCAGAGGATGTGGGGACCGGTGACAGAGGAGGGGAGAAGTGGGAGCCCGCCCGTGTGTCTGGCTCCCAGCACTTCCCCAGCGATACCGCTGGGTGCGGGACACCATGTGGCCATGATGTTCCTACATCCCCGCAGTGGTGACGGTGATGTCCCTGTCATAGGGATGCCAGGCTGGCTCCCCCGGGTGTGAGCGCTGAGTGGGGATGGTGGGTGGAAGGGTGCACAGAAGGGTCCCCAGCCTCCCTCCGGCTCCCTGCTGGCCGGCAAAAGGGGGTCCCATGTGGGGTTGTCCCCTGGGAGTGACCTGTCCCCAGCTCCCGGATGGAGCCGCTTGGGTGGCTTTTGGCAGAGGGCACAGATGGGTGGGCAGATGGACCGGTGGGTGGGTGGATGGATGGATGGAATGCTGGCCAGATGAGTGGGGAATGGGTGGGCAGACAGGGAGATGGGCAGGCTGGCTGGACAGACGGAAGGAGAGGCGACCAGACAGCCCCTCACTCCTGCTCCTTCCCCTGCCCAGGCACAACGACCTGCCCTGGCAGCTCCTCAAGAAGTTCAACAACCAGCTGGGGCTGCCAGAAGCCAACCTCATGCTGCTGAACGGCACCCACACCAACATCCCCAAACTGCACAGAGGGCACGTGGGCGGGCAGGTGGGATGGCGAGGCGGGCAGGGGCACCAGGGAGGGCACCGGGGTGGGCAGGGGTACCAGGGCAGGCGGCAGCAGGCACAGGGCCGGGCTCCCGGTGCTCACCGAGTGCCGTCACGGGCAGTTCTGGTCGGTGTACGTACCCTGCGACACGCAGAACAAGGACACGGTGAAGCGCACGCTGGAGCAGATCGACGTAGTGCACCGCATGTGTGAGCTCTACCCCGAGACCTTCGCCTGCGTCGTCGACAGCGCCGGTGAGCGGGCACGGGGACGGGATGCCAGTGCCCCGGGGGATGTGGGTGCCCCGGTGCCTACCCCAGCTGATGTCCCCCACCCTCCCGCAGGCATCCAGCAGGCTTTCCAGAGCAAGAAGGTGGCCAGTCTCATCGGGGTGGAGGGCGGCCACTCCATCGACAGCAGCCTGGGCGTCCTGCGCACCTTCTACCATCTGGGCGTCCGCTACATGACCCTCACCCACAGCTGCAACACCCCTTGGTAGCAGCCCCCGGTGGGGGACAGGGATGGGGTGACAGGGGCAGCATCAGCGGGGGGGGACACAGGTCGTGTGGCCGAGCAGGGGCATGTGGCTGGGGGTCCGCCCTGATGCTCTCCCCCGTTCCGCAGGGCTGACAACTGGCTGGTGGACACCGGGGACGAGCCGCCCCTGCACCACGGCCTCTCGCCCTTCGGGAAGGTGAGTGGGGACAGCGTCGGCAGCCGTGCCTGGGAGCAGCAACTGGGGATGGACGGACGTGGTGCTGGCACCCACCAGCCCCATGCTGGCTTATTAAGCCAAGCAGCGGGTGCACGGTGTGTCCCCCCTCCCTGCAGGGCTGCCACGGCCCCTCGTGCACCCCTCACTGGCCCCAGCTCTGTTCCCATCCCCGTCCCTGTCCCCGCAGACAGTGCTGGAGGAGATGAACCGCCTGGGCATGATCGTGGACCTGGCCCACGTCTCGGTGGAGACGATGAAGGTTGTGCTCAGCCTCTCCAAAGCCCCCATCATCTTCAGCCACTCGTCCGCCTACAGCCTCTGCCCGCACCGCCGCAACGTGCCCGATGACGTGCTAAGGATGGTGGTGAGCGCCGGGGCACGGCCACGGACAGGGAGGGGTGGGCCGGCGGTGGCGGGGAGGGGGCCGCAAGACTCAGGGCCACCTTTCCCCCAGGCCTCCACGGGCAGCCTGGTGATGATCAACTTCTACAACGAGTACGTGACGTGCAGTGACATGGCCACGCTGGCCGACGTCGCAGGTGAGGCGGATGCCCGGGTGGGTGGGGGGGTGGCAGTGTCCCCCCACCACCCCACTCACCCCAGCCCCTCCGTACCCGCAGACCATATGGACCACGTGAAGAAAGTGGCCGGTGCCCAGTCCGTCGGCTTCGGCGGGGACTACGACGGCGTCACAAGGTAAAGAGGGTGACAGGCACGCTGATGGGACCGGACAGCACGTCCCCAGCTGTGGGGACTTGCCGTGGCGGTGGGGGTCTCGCCCGTGCCCTGCACGGGGGGCTGGGGGTGCCATAGGTGGGTGCCGCCGGTCTCGGCTGCCCCCGGCACGGCTGCGAGCTGCGGGTTGGCGCAGGCTCCCCACCGGCCTGGAGGACGTCTCCACGTACCCCGCGCTGGTGGCCGAGCTGCTGGCAAGGAACTGGACGGAGGCAGAGGTGAGGGCGGCCCTGGCTGAAAACCTGCTCCGGGTCTTCAGGAAGGTGGAGGAGGTGAGCAGGGCACGGGGAGGTACGGGGCACGGGAACGGCAGAGACAAGCGGGACATCGGGACGTATGGCACTTGGGGATGTACGGGGACATGGGGTAGCACAGGGGCACGCAGGGCAGGGGATGAAGGGGGGCACGGGGACGTGCGACGTGACAGGAGGCTGTGTGGGGCACGGGGACTGCCCCTCGCTGCGGGAGCCCACCCCGTCCCCCATCGCAGGTGAAGAGGACCCTGCAAGGGACGGCTGCCCACGAGAAGCCCATCGCCTTCGAGGAGCTGGAGGGGACGTGCAGGACCCGCTACGGGTACACCAATGGTGCCGGCACAGCCTGGCTCCCGCCGGGAGCCCTGGCGCTGGCGCTGGCCCTGCTCCACTCTCTGCTCTCCTAACACCCGGCATCGGCTCCCACCGCAGCCCCAGCACCGTGCCCGGCAGGATACCGGCAGCTGGCCCGCTGGCAGCCGGGCTGGGCCCAACCCTCCCACCCCTCCCCGCCTGCACGCCAGCCCCGCGAGCAAAATAAAGCCGTGCTTCCAGCACCGCCGGCAGCACGTGTCCGTGCCGGGACCCTGCGAGGACTGCCAGCCCCAGCCCCGTTGCCCTGCTCTTGGCTGAAGGCGATGAGCCACCCCGGCACGTCACTGGCCACGCCGGCACCCTGCCGGCCACTGCGGCTGCGTGCCCCTGGCTCCGGCAGAGCAGAGGCGTAGGGGACTGGTGGGCACCCAGCCCAGGGCACTGGGAAGCTGTCACCGCACCGGGAGTGACACATCGCTGCAACACACGGCCAGGGTGGCTGTAGGCCTGCCTCCGCAGGATGCTTACATTAATCATTAGCTAATTAATTGGCTACTCAATTATCTTCTTAGCAATTTCCTCTCACATTTGGGAACAGCCTGTCTTTGGAGCGGAGGCGGCTTTGGGCACCGGGAAAACAGGCAGGAGAAGGAGAGCCATCTTCCTGTGGCATTCGCAAATTGGCGAAGGCACAGGGTCCTGTCTGCCAGCCCGGCACGGGGAAGGGATGTGCCCGGTCCCCACCAGGATGGCAACCACAGCGGGCCACAGCCACCTTCCCCGGTGGTGAAGCTGCTGTTGGTGGGTGCCAAGGGCAGGACTGGGGTGGAAAGCACCAGGGCTCCTTCCGTGGGGTTACGAGCCAGGGATCTCCCCCTCGGGGAGCCCAGCCTTCTCCCCACAAGGGCCAGGGTACAGTGTGGAGAAGAGCACAGGGAGCCTGGCAGCCTGAAAACCACGCTGGGGAAAAGGAGCTCGACTCAAGCCGGCGAGCTGGTGTCAGCTGCGCCGGGGCCATGACAGCACCTGCTCAGCCCTGTTTCCCCCCCAGCTTGGCTACACGAAGGGATCTGGTCCCTGCAGGGGTGGCACAGGGGACTCGTCAGGACCCCTTCCCCTCCGGCACCCCCAGAGATGGTGACCCCAGCGCGGAGAGCAAGAGAGTGGGCAAGAGGAGGCAGGGAGGCTGCAGGAGCAAGACCCCTTCCTCCTCCTCACCTCAGCCCCATCCAAGGCAGCCCCTCAGCACCAGGTCCTCTGTCCCAGGCAGGGGACGGGGCACGGCCATCACGCTGTGCCACAGGCAGAGGGGACCACGGACCCCCTCTTCGCCTCAGAGCCCCCAGACACACCACAATGGATGTTCAGGGATTGTTTATTTAAAATAGCAGAAGGTAATCAACAGGGGTTTGAGAAGAAGAAAAAGAAAAGGCAAATGAGACAAGCTTTAAAAAACACACAAATGAAACCACAGAGAAACATCACATTGAAAAAAGGAGCATTTCCAGGGGCAGGGGCTCCCAGGGTACCCCCCAGCCCCATCGGTGGCACCCATGCATGGCACCCACTCCAGGGTGTGTGCACAAGTCTCCAGGGGGGATTCTGCTTTCTGCCCAGCCCATGGTGAAGTGGCACAAGATCCAACGCTCCAACATGCACAAATGACTTCATAGCCCAAAGCCACCTCCTCCTCCTCCTCAGCCACCACCCCGCACCCCCACGGCTGCACGCATCGGGGAAGAAGGCTCTGTCGGTCACTAGACACACGCTGCCAAGGCCACTGAACTCAGAAGAAATAATGAAAACAATGAAAAGTGTTTGCGTTGCAAGTGCTGTGGAGATGGCCCCTGGCCCGCAGCAAGTCCTGCCCCACGTCCACACAGACAGGCTGGGTGCCCTGGGTGGTGCGCAGCAGCCTGGAAACATCAGCCAGTGCTGGGAGTGGGTAGGAGCTGCCTCCCGCTCTCCCCCACGCTTCCCTTCCACCCTCTCAGCACAGCCCAAAGCAGCAGCTGTGCATGCCTGCCTTAGAATTCCCTTGAAAAGCGATGAATCAGAGCTGCCCCGCTGCAGCGGGACCAGCTGCCCGCTCCTGGCTACATGAAGCACAGCTCAGCATCGCCAGACCTGGCAGCTGCATGGCCCTCATTTACAGCCTGTGGTTAAAGTTCCTCCTCGTGAGAGCCAAAGGAAACTAACATTTCCTTCCCGGCAAGCTTCCCATCAATCCAGCACCTCGGTGGTGCCTGGGAGTCGCAGAGGACAAGGGGCACAGAAGACTTCAGCCCCAGGGGAAGGCTCCGAACGCTGAGCAGCCGCGTTTCCCCGCGAGCAGCAAGAGGAGAGGGGACGCAGGAAGCAGCCCCCTCTCATCCAGCCAGGTTACACGCTCTGCGAGCAGCAGCACGGAGCAGATATGGCAAGGTGGGGACAGCGGAAAGGAAACCGGCAGCAGATATCCAGGGGACAAGCCACAGCCAGTGCAGGGAGACACGCTCTCAGGATGGTTTAGCATTTACTGTCACACCCATCCAGCTGGGGGACATCTGGGGACAAGGCTGTGGCCACCACAGCTGCGAGCCTGGGAGTGGAAGCCACTGCAATCCGCTCCCAGCTGCTGGACAAGAGGCAGGGACTGATCCACATGGGAGGTCAGGGCCTGCATAACCATTTCCAGACCACAGCAGCTGGAGATGGGGAACACGTGGATTTATACACACACACACATGGGCTTGCGCAGGGCAGGACGAGCGTTTCAAAGGTCACTTTGTGGTACAGTGCTCCAGGGAGGTTTGGCCAGGCAGGACAAGGAGCTAGCGATCAGCAAGGTGAAGTCTGCAAGGAGGACTCCCAGCTACAGCTAGGGAAGGTCACTGTGAGGGAAGAGATGCCACAGCGTAACCTCCCCTTCCTGCAAGGCACTAACCTTCCCAGAAACACCACAGCCGGGAAAACAGCCCTTCCCAAACCGCTGCCTGTGGGGATCTCCCTGCTCCTTGTAAACAGCTCCTTGATGCGGGCCCTGAGGAAAACACAGCCCGCAGCTAGGAGACCCAGTCTAAAACAGGTAACAGAACTGTGCTACACACAGAGGAGAGTCAGGCAAGCAGCACCCCAAAAGACACCGCAACCCGCCTCCAGAAGGATTCCTTTCATGTTAAATCAGGAGTGGGACGTTGCATCGTGAGACGCTGCCAGAAACCAGCAGCGATTCTCAAATGAAACAAACCCTAAAATCAGAACCAGCAAAGTGTTCCTCAAGCCCAGAAAGAGGCCGTCTCTGCTCAGAAAGCCCCTGCCAGGACCACTGCCTGCTCTGGGAAAAGTCGTCACCGTCACACCCTAAAAGAAGAGTCTAAATGCAGGCAGGCAGGGCTGGGGACGTGCTGCTGGAGGAGGGGACAGCCAACTCCGCCTGGCCGCTGGGTCAGAGCAAGGACGTAGCGGAGGTGGGGAAGGAGTCCCGGGCCCCTCCACCCCACATGCCACACCACCAGTGCGGGACAGCAGTCCGCAGGGGCGACAGGAGACCTTAATTCCGCAAGGCAGCCAACCTGGAAGGGAGAGCACAAGAGGGAACTGACGTGAGAGCAGCAGGAAACAGCCGTGACTCAGAAGGACCCTTCAGCCAGCCGTGTGCAAGGAACGTCTCTGCCGAGAAACCTCCCTCCTGGGGCAGAGGTGCAAGAAATCCCGCCCTGGAGCACACGGCCACAGCTGCCTGGGGTTAACTTGGGAGCATCTGTCAGCAACGCAGGTGGGGTACTGCAGAGAAGGGGCTTCTGGCTTCTCTTCTGGGTGCCTCGCCCCTGCAGCCCGCCTGAACCCTCTCCCAGGGCTGTCCCCAGATGGATCCCGGTGGTGGCTGCATGGGGAACAGCAGGGAGGGACCAGGGAGAGGAAACCCATCAGCTTCTCCTGGGGCAGTTCCAGGGAGACAGCCTGTTCCCGGAGCTGTTTGAAGGTCAGCGCCAAGCATTCCCAGAGCAACAGCAGCTGCGTGAGGGCGAACACAGAGCAGGGGGAAAACTGTTCTGCATCTCATCGACAAGAGCTCGCTGCTGAGTGCCAGAAGCCACCCCCATCCTCAGGCCCAAAGTGGTCCCACAGCCCCGAACAGCCACCTGGCCTGCCTGCGCAGGGTACCAAGGGGACTGCTGGGCTTTGGCTTGCCTGAGCATGAGAGAGGGGGCTCAGCACCCACTTAGCCTGCCGTGACAGGCTAACTCATTCCCTTCATAGTGGTGAGGGATCCCTGGGAAGGATTCAAACACAAGGCAAAGGACCCAGGAGAAAACAAACCTCCGCGACAGCTGGTCTTCCTGGCTGCGGACCGAGCTCTCCCCCACTGCTGAAGCCCCCTCGGGGAGCTGGTTGAGCTGGTCCATAATCTCCAGGCCGTTCTCCTCTGCGATCTGGACGATGAGGCTGTCCACCTGCTCCTGCGGCGTGGTCAACGTGGTAGCGGAGCTCATGGAGTCCTCCATGACCTGCGACAGAGACAACCTGTCACCCTACCCTGCAGGCAAAGCCGCTCGGCCCAGCCCGGTCCAGCCCGGTTTCTTCTCCCAAAGAACCGGCTGCAGATCCCACATCGCCACCAGCCCCCTCAGCCACAACAGCCTCAAACCTGACCGCAGGGCTACAGCGGAGGGCAGCAAGGTCTGGTTCTGCCAAAGACCCCCTCTGAGTAATGGCTAGCTATGACACGGGGACAGCCACCCTCCCTCTTCTCCCCGTCTGCCACGCTCGCCTCTTTGCACGGCAAACTCCTTCACCGTCAGGCAGCAGAGACGCGTCTTCCCCAACGTCTCTCATATCCCTCAAACGCAGAGGACAGAGCTGTGTGAACAGCTCGGGGGGTTTCCCACACCGGAGGCTGGAGTCCCCGAGGGGAACAGAGCACTGCTGCGGAAGCCCGATTTACAGCTGGGACCTGGCTCTCTCCCAGGAGGCAGCGTGTTACAGTTCACAGAGAAGCCCACCGTCCCGGACCCCTCCAAGGCCACTGGCACTTACCGACGTATGAACGTCCAAATTCTGAACCTGCTGCTCGAATTTATCCATCACCGCAGACACCTTCTGCAGGTCCATGGAGCTCAGAGCCTTGTCCAAAGCCTTAGTTACCTGGGCCATGTTTTTCGTCACCTGCAAGAGGAGATTGCTGCACAGCCGCTCCCCAAAAGCAAAGTACATCACTGCTGAGAGTAAAACCCAGGTCAATGAGAGAGAAGCCAGTATTCCTGATGCCCACAGCAGTGCTATGAGGCAGGACGGGCTCTGCCTGACTGCAGCCTTCTCCAGCCACGTACAGTCACTGAAGACCTCAGGCAGCCCTCCTGGCGGGACGGGTCCCAGCCCACCACCCTCACACAGGCCACGAGGCAAGAGGCTCCAGGCACGAGCCTCTCCCTCTGTGCAGCCACCAGTTAAGGATTTAATCCGAGCCCCTGACGAGGCAGTGAGGCTGTCCCAGATGGGCTCTTCAGAGGCTGAACCTGACTGAGAGGGTCTGAGCTAACTATGAGGTTTAGTGGGATCCTTTTCGGGGACAGGAAAGTCCAAGGTGGTTCAAGGCAGCGAGAGGGGAAGAGCCAATGTTCGCTCTCTGCGGGGCACAGACCCGTCTCAAAGCCACATGCCCACGCTGAGGCTCTTACCCCCTTCATCGTCACTGCTGTCTGGACCTTGGAGGCCACCGCATCCACCCGGGAAGACATGCGGAGCCAGTTAAGCCCCTCGTTCTTCTTACGGATAGCATTCTCTGCGTAGACACGAGCGCACTCCACGTTTTTCTGCTGAAGGGCCTGGAAGGGCAAAGGGCAACCACTTGCACAGAGAATCCACTACAGATTTATAAACAAGCGCAATCTGTTTCTGCCTGACAGGTTTCCAGCAGGAAGCGCCTCTCCTGTGACCCTCAAAACGCTGAGCACGCCCTTGAACGGGAACGAAATCCCTCTCAGCATCGCAGGGGCGCACCACATCCATCCGGCAGATCCAAGAGCCGAGGGTGGGACTCAAAAGACTTGGGAGGCCAAGCTGACGGACGCAGCGAGGCCTGAGGCGAGGGGAAACCTGCCCTTTACCCCAGTCCCTTTACGGGAGGCAAGTGCTGAGGGCTGGCAGAGCCAAGCTGTCCCAGCACCTCCGCACACGCAGGGCGAGCTCCCGCCCACCTTTTTGACTTTGGCTTGCTCGGCCTTGGAGTCTTTCTCGGCTTTTTTGGCGAGCTTCTCCAGCTGCTTCGCTGTGAACTGCAGAGAAAACAACGGGTTAGCACCAGGATACGGCAGCAACAGAACCAGGAATGTGGGGCGAGCAGAGCCCCAGCCGCCCCCCACACCCAGCAATACCGGCCGGGGGAGATGGACCCCCCCCCCCCCCAAGGACCCCCAGAGCATACGGTAAACCGGGAAGTCAATTTTCAGCGCTTCCGAGAAACGAAGCGCCGGGAATAGCCCGGGAACGGCGGCCCCGGAGGACAAACCCGGCTAAAAGGCTCCCTCTTCCCGCAGCCGCCGGTATCGGCGGGGCTCCCGAGGCACCCCTGCGCCTCCTGGAAGGCGGATCTCTGCAGGTCAGAGCTTCTTTCTATTACGGAGCCGCAGGGAGGAAAAGCCCCGGCGAGGTGTGAGTCAGCGAGCGGAACGTTCCCCGGGCACCTCCCGGAGAGGTGGTGACCGTCACCGGTCCTCCGGGACCGGCCACCGGAACGGCGATACGTGACGGGAGACGGAGGACCCCGCCGCTATCCTCACCTTCAGCTGGAAGAGCGTGTCTGGAAGGGAAGGAGAGCACAACCTCAGGGATGGCGCACCGGGGACAACGCCGGGGCCGGGACCGGAGGCCGGGGGGGAACCGGGGCCGGGGCAGGCCCCCAGGTGCCCCCGCCCAGCAGAACAAGCTCCACCCCCCCAAAAAAAAACCAACACGACGTGCCAGAAGCCCGTTTACCGTCCGCCCGCCCTTACCGTCCATC